GGAGCAAGGCTGGAATTTTCTTTCATACAGTATGACCCCAGAGTTCTGACTTATGTTCAATGTGCTGGATTGAGAGAACCCTTAGTGTTTATCTAGTCAACTTCCTCTCCTGTACTGCCACTTTCTCTTCCCCTAAACTATGATCTAATCCCTTCTCCAGTTTCCTAGGTAATTATTCCAAGCTCATTTTGACCATAGAAAACTTGGTATTTTGCCTATTTCATCTTTAGACTTAAAAATCTCTCCTTTAAATTCATCTGAAATCTGTTCAGGGAGCAGTATAGTATAGTAACTCATGTGTAAAATGGAGAGTATAGCAGCTATCTCATGGGGTGGTTGCAGGAATTAATGATCAAAAGCATGTAACACAGTGCCTGGTGCCAGGAACTGCACAACACATGACAATAATTGGCTCTAAGCCTTCTTGTGCACAGATTTGTTCTCTGGATGCACAAAAACTGATCATGTCTATTATCTACAGTAGTCCTTCAATTTCTGAAGGTTGTGATTATGTTTCCTCTAAGCTGCTGCTACCTTCCCTTTCCTCCTCCTCCTCCTCCCCTATATCTCTATCTATAGTTCCTGCAGCTAAAGAAATAATATCTCATAGATAATATCAGATATTATTTCTATTTTTTAAATATTTATTTATTTATTTTTTTAGTTTTCGGCAGACACAACCTCTTTGTTTGTATGTGGTGCTGAGGATTGAACCCGGGCCGCACGCATGCCAGGCAAGCGCGCTACAGCTTGAGCCACATTCCCAGCCCTAGATATTATTTCTAGACCTCTTGCTATCATATCCTTTCTCCCTTCTGCTAAGGCTTAGGTGAAGAAGTCAGAAAATCAATGAACAGTTACATTGGGTTTGTACTCTACATGTCTTTTTATTATTATCATTGTTCTTTTTGTGTAGTGCTGGGAATCAAACTCAGGGCTTCATGCATGCCAGGCAAGCATACTACAGCCCTGAAACTCACATCTGTGGCATTTAGGCAGCCATATTTTATTTAGTTAACTCCACTGAGTTCACATCTACCTATAACACCATTTCTTTGCCATTTGAAATTGTAAAAGCACATTTTTTCACATCCTGTGTTTGTGCAGTTAGGTTCATGAATTAAGATGGATAATTTAACATTTTTCCTGTTTTATTTCATTTCATAGGATTCAGCCTATTCTGTTCTAACATCCTTTGGGATTTATATTTTCCTTTCCATTTATGCTTGGACTCTGAGGACAAGATCATTGCAAAGTAAGAAAATTCCTGTAAGGTGCTAAGCACAAATACCTGGCATACAGCAAGCTCTTGATAAACACAAACAGTTGTAGGGTGGTTGTTATCCCAATACTCAACACAGTGTCTGGCTCACAGTAGAACCCTAATAATATTCATTGATTAATGAATAAATGATTGGCTCAAAGATTGATGGAACTAATAAATATTCCCTGTCTTGACTCTCAGGCCAAGTAAATTATTATCTTTCTTTTACAAATAGGGAAACTGAGGCTCATAGATGTTAAATAACTTGCCCATGGTCACTCAACTGAAAAGTGGAACCAGAACTAGAACTCAAATCTGCTTGATTCCAAAGCATACATGGCGGACCCTTCCCTATGATGCGTCCTCACATCTATATTCAGACCGAAAGAACGTGCTAGGAAGCCAGAATGAAGTCCGAGAGACTTCCCAAGGTTGTGTGTCCCAAGCCCTAGAGAACTTGATTCTCTTGTAACCCTGGGACCCAGGGATGTGGAAGGGCCCAAGAGATGGGGAACAGAGCACCGGAAGCCTCCCTCCTCCCTCCCCTCTGGGCCTCTCGTATTCCCTGCCTAAACTCTGCTCTGCTATTTCTCCTAAGCAACTAACAGCATTGTGTGTCCCCAAGGAGACACTTTTAAGGCCAGGGAACCAAGACCCAGGGAAATGATTCAACTGCTTGCCAGAACCAGGGTCAGCAGAGTCAGGGGCCCAGAAGAGTAGGTACAAAGAATTAGAAGACCCGTGGGAAATCTGTGGTTGCCTCTCTGCCACCCTCTATCTGGGTATCAGCTTCCTCTTTGTAAGAATGGTGGGAAGTAATAGTCCTCATTTTACCTTATAATGGTTTGTGTTATAATGATGACAACAGCTAGGGTTTACTGAGTAATATCTCTGCCAGTTACCATGCTGAGTACCTTTCATAGTCTTAGCACTATGAAATAGATATATTATTTACTCCCATTTTAATTTTTCATTCTTCCTTCCTTTCATCTTTGTCCTTTTTTTTTTTTTTTTTTTGGTACCAGGGATTGAACTCAGGGGCACTCAACCACTGAGCCACATCATCAGCCCTATTTTGTATTTTATTTAGAGACAGGGTCTCACTGAGCTGCTTAGCACCTCGCTTTTGCTGAGGCTGGCTTTGAACTCTCTATATTCCTGCCTCAGCCTCCCAAGCAGCTGGGATTATAGGCATGGGCCACAGCGCCAGGCTCCTTTTTAATAAATGTGGAAGCCAAAGTTCATAGAATTGTTACTTGCCCAAGATCTCTAACCCTAAGTGTCAGAACTGAGGTTTGAAACTGTGTAGCCTTTTGAGCCCTTTAGAACTGAGAAATGGAGGATGGGAGAGTATGATAGAAGTCCTGTACTCTCTGGGCAAAACTATATTGCACAGTCTATGGCTTCTTATGATTGGGGCTGAAAGTGGGAACCTACAGAGAGCATTTCTAATGAGGCAGTTGTGCAAATCCAAAGGTGGGAAGGGCTCTTCTCACCCACATGATCAGATTGAAACCCTAGGTCTAGATGAGAGGAGGGAGGGTACACAGTCTGACTAGCTCCTTTGTAAGAGACTGTTCCAGAGCAGATTGTGGTGGGAGAGGAAGATCCTAGGTTGTCCAGCCAGAGCCACTATAGCCCATTCAAAGCCAAGGCCTTCTGCAAGAAGAGTACTGTAACTCATGATGTTCTGCTGGGGTTAAGGCAGGAAGAAGCTCCAGTTTTCTCAGAACTTTCCAAGAAACCAAGGACGCACAGCCCAGGAAATAAGTACTTATGGCCTCCAATGGCACCTGTGACCCCTTAATTCCCTGTATCTCTGCCCTTGGGTTTCCAGCCACCCAGCTTCTACACTGTTCTCCTTATATCCACAGCTGTCTGTTTGGCATCCCCAGCACCTCCCTTCCAGGCTCGTTCTCCTCTCTCACACACCAGGACTGTCTGCCATGGCAGCTCCTTTGTTTACTTCCAGAGCTCACAGGCTCACCACTAGCCAAACACAACGAGGCCTGGCCAGGGAGATCTTGGCTCTAGGATCAATCTGGCCCCTCTGGGACAGGTAATGGCCTCCAAACCAAGAAGGCAGCTCAAAGGTAGGTTGCTCCCTGTGCTGGGTTCTTGCTTCAGAGTCTGACAACCCAAGTTTCAGGCCTAGAGGGAAAAGGTACAAGTTCTGCCCATAGCTGGGCAGGAATCCCTACGGTTGAGACAGCTTTGGCTAAGGGCTCTCAGAATTAAAGACCTCGCTAGAGAGAGATGGGGAAAATTTTGAGGCCTCCTTGGTGGGAACCAGAGGCTTGGATTTCTGCTCCTCTTTGAGTCTCTCATCAGCCTGGTAAAACCTGGCTCTGAACCCTCAGTTGGAGGATCCAGGTGCCTAAATTTCCTCACCAGGAGGTTGTGTTCCTCTTCCAAAAGCTCAGGTCTCATACACCCCAAAGATTCTCTCTCTCTTTTTGCACCAGGATTGAATTCAGGGTGCTTAACCGCTGAGCCACATTCCCAGCCCCTTTTTAAATCTTTTATTCTGAGACAAGTTCTCATCAAGTTACTTAGAGCCTCATCAAGTTGCTGAGGCTGGCCTTGAACTTATAATCCTTTTGCCTCATCCTCCTGAGTCACTGGGATTACAAGTGTGTGCTATATAGTGCTCTCTCCTCCCTGAAGATTCTAACTGAAAAGGGAAAGTGAGTATTTACTATAGACTAAGCCCTAAGTAGAAACATAGCCTGGCATTTTTTCTGTCTGAGATCAGTGGGAAGATGATTTACCTAATGTATAATTATGTATTTATATAATGTATAATGTAAAGTGAGGGGCTCTAATTCTGACTCTGGTAGGTGATGGGTAAGCAATAAGGAATACTGTGGGTGCTAAGCTGGAGGGCAGCAGGGTCACAGACAAGGTCATATGAAGAACAATGGTCATGGCAAAATAAGAGGCTCCCATTGGGAAGGGGAGACTCCTGGCAGTCCAAACTCCCCAATGCAGAAGTAGAGGGCCCTTTAAATGTTGCCCATTTAATTCTGTGAGGATGGGAGAAAATGGGGGCAGGGCAGATGCTGGTGAATGATCAGAGATGATTTTAAGGCCTCCTGGATGAGAACCAGAGACTTAGACTGCTCCTGGTCTCCATTTCATTTAAAGGAAATTAAATCCCCAGTATCTTTCTCATTTAGGGATCCCTTTTAACACACACACACAAAAAAAAACTTGACTAAGGAATGTAAAAATCTAACTTTGTTGCCAGGCCCTAATGGAGCAGATGGACCCGGGGGGGGGGGCCAATGGGCCTTTGGAAAGAACAGGAATGAGGTTAGAGGTGAACACTGGTCCTGCCCAGTTCTTACTCTCTGCCCCATTCTGCTTCAGTTTCCAAGGGTTGGGGGTGGGGCCTGGGAAACAGAGTTCATGCATGAAGCAACCCACCCTCCTTCTCTGAGTCAGGAATTCCTTGAGGGGTTATGGGTCCCCTGGAGTAAACAAGAAATTTGCTACAGTTTTAGGCACAGTTTGGCTTTTTTTTCTCATCAATGTACATTTTAATCAAACAGTCTAACAGCCTCATACTCCTTACCCTTGCCCAAGTCCTCTCCCCGCTCTCCCACACCAGCCCAATAAGCATCTCATCTGCCCTAAAGATTGAAAGTCACCAGGCACAAAGGTGATTCAAAGAGGAGGTGACACCTGTGTCTCTCCCACCAGATGCTCAGGACAGCACCAGACCCCCTTGGAGAGTTCAGAGGCCAAGGAGGCCTAAATTAGGAGAGATTACAGGTTGAGTCTCATTGGAAAACACTGTCTCCTGGGTCTCAGTCCCATGCAGAGTCTGTCCCCTTGGACTGTCCTTGTCAGTCAGAGTAACAGAAGGGCAGAAATCCTCAGATGGGGGACTTGTGAATAGAAGGGGAGCCCAAGTCACACTCAAGAGTGAACAAGGCTGCTGGAATGCCCTTTGGTGCGGTTGTGTAGATGCTCTGACTGCAGCTTCCTGACCCCTCTGTGATTCCAGGAGCGAGGGGAGGGGCTCTCAGGATATGCCAACCTGGAAGACAGAGGGCCAGTGCTGCTACCTGCAGCCACAAGACTCCACAACCATGTCCTCATACTGCTTATACACCACGTTGTTGGCAGAGTCAATGAAGAGGATGCTAATGGGACTCAGCCGCGTGGGCACACAGCAGGTGGGTGGTGTGGACTCGGGGTCCATGGAGTTCATCAGAGTCTGGATGACTGCGTGGTTCGTGGGCTCCAGGTGGGAGCGCAAAGGGAATTCGCATAGCCCCTCGCAGTGGAAGGCCTCGTACTCAAGAGGCGCAATGATCCAGTCATCCCAGCCCATGTCCTTGAAGTTGACATGCAGGGCCTTCCGACTGCAGCGGGCCTTGAGGTTCTTGCTGGGTCGCTTGCCCTGGCGAGTGGCCAGCGGAGCCCGCCGTTTCCGCCGCTGGCTGAACAGGTACTCATACACGGTCTTATCATCTTGGCCCGAGCGGGCCTTAATCTCATTAAAGAACAGGTCCCGTTTCTTGGTTCGGCCAAACACCAGGAACAGAGCCTTCTCGTGGACCTGCCGGGCAGCCCGGTCAAAGCCCAGAGCGCGGAGGTCCACAGCCCGGCCCCGTTCCCAGGCCTCCAGCTCCAGACACAGCTGGGCCGAGTTCTTAAAGTTTCGGAAGAGCTTCCAGATGTCGAACACCTCCCAGCCAGATCCATCCAGGCCTGGCACCGAGCGCACATCCAGCAAGGCTGCCGGCTGCCGGCCATTGGGGCAGCTGGACAGCTTCAGCTGGGCAGCCCGCCCGGCACCAGGGGCCACTGGCTTGGCCATGTCTGAGGGCTTCTTCCGCAAGATCCGCAGCTCGGCCCCCAGCAGCCCATCCTTCTCCAGGGCACTAATGTCGAACATGTACCTCTGCTTCCTGACCACAGGACCTCGGTCATCTAGAGAGAATAGCCAGAAGTCAAGTCCTGCAACCTCACCAAGGGAGCCAGTCACCTCTAGGCCCCAAGGGAGGCCCAAGCTCTTTCCCCTCAGGAGAATTTTCTTTAACCTCTTCCCCACTGTGTCAGAGGCCAACATCAAACCACTGAGAGCCTTTTTAAAATGAGGGAGCTTCCTGCACAGTGGACCAAATCAGGGTGTTTATCTGTGAATGTGGAAATGGATGATTTGGGTAACTGTTTGTGTCAATGATTTATGTATAACAGTCATAAGCCTTACAACTTCCTTCTACTTATCTCTCCTGCCTCGTGATCTAACATGATATCCTATGTCTGAGATAGTGGGGTATACATTAAAATTACCCATTTTTTGAAAAACCTGAAGTTCAGGGAAGTTATGTGGCTTGCTCAAGGTCCCTTGCTAGGAAAAAACAGAATTAGAACTCTAGAATTTTTATATCTCATACTGAGATGCTCCCACTATACCTTAAAGATCTTAGTGTTCTCATTTTTACAGATGAGGCACAGAGATGAGGAGTGATTTGACTTAGGTCACAGCAAGTTAATGAAAAAGCTGATCTACAACCCAAATTCCTGGCTCCCCAGTCTAATAATTTTGTTGTGTATTTGTCTTCCCCTGCTGGGTGGATGAGGGTGTAACAGTGTGTGTGTGTGTGTGTGTGTGTGTGTGTGTGTGAGAAAGAGAGAGAGAGAGAGAGAGATGGGGTTCATTTGTAAGTATGCAAGGTAATATATGAGTTACAAAGATATGTATGAATATTTTGCATGAATTTCTGTGTGTGTGTGTGTGGGGGGGGTTTGGGCATTGAATCCAGAACCCTCTACCACAGGGCTACATCTCAGCCCTTTTTACTTTTTATTTTGAGGCAGGGTCTTGCTAAGTTGCCCAGGCTGGCCTTGAACTTGTAATCCTCCTGCCTTGGGGCCTGCTGGAATTACAGGCATGTGCCACCATGCCCACTTGGCCTCATGAATATTTGAAGGGCTTGTATGTGAATGTAGGTGTATGATTCCACGTATATACATAAAGTGTGTATACATGTGCACATGTGTGATTCAACGTGTGTAAAATATAAGGCTGTGTGTGTGAGAAGCTCAGCAGTGTCTCTGTGTCAGCATGGCCTCCTTCCTAAATACCAATTTGCCATTGGGGAACATTCATATATTGCTCTAGAAGGTAACTAATTAGGCCTTTAAACTCCCCATCTCCCCCTCCCCAAGCTCCCTTAGTGCTAGGGGGGGCCACAAGGACTTATTTTATGAGCCCCCAAGGGGTCACAGCTTTCCCTGGCTGGGCAGGCAGCCAGCCCACCTCCCCCACCTCGGCCAGACCTGCTGCCTCTGTGCCTCCCCCCTCCTGCCCCCTGTCATTCCCCTACAGGCCAGCTCTAATGAGGAGTCTCTCCTACTCTCTGACCCCTCCCCCACCCTGCCAGCCAAAGTCCTAAGACTCAGAACCCGAGCATAGGAGCTGTAAGCAACCTTAGCAACGGGCAGTCCACCTCCCTCTTCACACTATGGAGAAACTGAGGCCCTGAAAGGGGAAGAGTCTTGTTGAGTTCACACAGCAAGTTGAGAGAAAAAGCTGAGATGGTAATACTAGATTGGCAGAGGGAAACACAGGAGAACAGATATTCTCCTGCGTTAATAATAAAAATATGTTTACAGGACACAAAATTTTCACATTTGAAGGACTTTCATAAATCACCCAGACTCCCATCTAGATGGACAGATGGGGAAATTGAGGCCCCAAGGGGCGAAGGGGCTGTCCCAGGGTCACATTATGAGTTAAACCCTAGGTCTGATGCCTCCTTCCATGACTCCATGATGCCCCCTTTCCTTTCTTCACCTGTCTGCCTCCCCTGCCCCGCGTCCTGATGACAAAGTTGCAGAACTATGGGGACCTTTCTAAAGTTTCATCCCTCTGTCTGCTGAGAAAACCCTGGAGCTTGGAAAGTTTGGCCAACCCATAAAGTTACAGAGCGTGGCTTGATAATCAAGTCTTGGATAATCAAGTCTCCAACTCTGCCACCAAATGGCAGGTCTTATCTCCTCTCCAGGATTTAGTGTCCCCTCCCCCCTGCACCTTGCAGGAACTGGACTTAGTGATCCCTGGGTACCCTATACTGCTGACATGCTAGCAGCCTGGATCTGGTATATGTAAGGTAATTCCCTGTCACCCACCCACGCAGGACCAGATGCACACACATTCCCCCACCTGTTAAGCATCAGGGCTCAAGGAGTCCCTCTGTGCATGCAGATGCTCCTCCCGCCACCCCGCCCCCTCACCTTGCCCTTTGTCAATAAAGCTGGTGATGGTGTTGGCCAGGCCAGCCTCCAACTTCACGCTGCTGTTGCCTCCCTTTCTGTCAGCATCGGACAGCGTCCTGTACAGCGAGAGCATGTACTCGTGGGGTGTGATGGGGGGTGGGCGGAACGGCTCCTTGGGCTCTCGAGGGGGCCCAGACTCCCTGGCCTTCTTCAGCAGAAAGGAGCTGGGGACAGATCCTGCTTTGGGGGGTGCCTTGCCCCCGGGAAGCTGTCCTTTTGGGGTTACAGTCCGGGCTGCAAGCTGCCTGGTCTGGGGAGGGGGTCCTGGCTTGGGTTCAGAACCACCAGATCTGGGGGGCAGCTTTTTGGGCTCATCCTTCTTGGCCTGTGTCTGCCCAGGGTCTGCCTTTGCCCTAGTGTTGGTGGCCCCCCCCACCATAGCTGTGACCCCCTGGCCTAAAGATGTTCCGGGCCAGGGGGGGCCTCTCCTTGGCCTCTGCTTTGGCCAATCCTGGCCTGGCCCCCGTGGGTCTCTGGCCCAAGTCAGGGGCACCCAACACAGTGCAGATGAATTCCAGGTCCAGCCAAGCCAGGTGCCAAAGCAAGAAAGTGAGGAGTTTGGGGAGTCTCATCCTCTGGCCAGCCGCTGGATGACACCAAAGAGAACAGCGGCAGCAGCGAAGGTGCCTCTGGCTTGGCAAGAAAAACCATGAAAGGAGTGGATCTTTAGGAGCAGCGGCGGCAGCAGTAGCAGCAGCAGGAAGGGCTTTCTCCTCAGTCTGAGACTCTTGAAGTCCGCCGGGCGTGTGTCTGTATCCAGTCCCATAGTGGAAATGCTCCCGTATCCAGACGTGCACCGTCTCCAGTCAGCAGCTGAAAATAACTCGTTCTTGAAAGGAGAAAGCCGACCGCCCCCTTTCTCCTGCACAACTGACTGAGGGCTTGAAGGAGGCTTGTATAAGGCTGAGGGATTTTTCCAAGAAGGAAGAATGGCGTAATGCTGCCTGTGTGCTCCAGTTTTTTTTCCTCCTAGTTTTGAATCCTTTCCAGTGAAAATACTTACACACACACACACACACACACACACACATACACAGGCCTGCAGGTGCTCAGAAAAATCTTTTACAAACCTGAACTCAGGAATTGGAAACGGAATTCCAACCCAAACCAATTTAATTACTCTCTGATGTCATGCTGTCTAAATTCATTTAAGTGCGATATATTTATGTGAAAAAAATCACCGCTGCCCTTTTGAGGCCATGGCTCACGGGGGCTCTTGGCACAGAGCCCCGTAGCAGGACTCAGGGCTTAGGGGGCCTCTCAGTCCCCAGAGCCGACTCAGGGGTCTTCACCTCCACCTCCTGGAGAAGCCCACCCTGCCAACCCAAGGAGAGATGCTGAAGAGTGAGCCCTGAGATCCAAAGCCCCAGAAGCATGGGGAGTGTGGGTTTTCAGTGAAATCCTTGGAGTGTTTTAAAAGCAATTTCGACCCCTGCATCTAGCCTGGGATCCGATTTGGGGGAGGGGGACACATGTGTGTGTGTGTGTGTGTGTGTGTGTGTGTGTTGCAGAACAGATGGCAGCATTTACCCACAGTTTCTTTTATTTTAGTAAACTTGTGGTGACCCAGAGGCAGAAAAAAATATCAGTGCCCACTACACCCCTCCTTCCCCACAAATGCCATTGGCTGAACTCAGATGATTTCTTCAGGCTTGGGGGACACTGCCACCCTGAAGCCCCTGCTTGTCTAGAGGCAGGTACTGGGTGTACCCTGCCACTACCCCAGCAAAGACGTCCTCGGAGTTTTCTTAGAACAGATTGGCTGAGTTAGGAGGCAGTGGCCCCAGCCTGGGGCAGCAGCGGCCCCTGCAGGAGGCTGGAAAAACGATTTCCCACAGGAAACTGGTAGTTGGGGAAGTCTGAATTCCAGTTAGACTCAAGGGTTTCTCAAAGTGCCTCAGTGAAGTACTGAGCCCCCTTTCTTGGGATGTCCTATAGAGCCCTTGGACAACTTACCACAGGGTCACCTGGGGAAGCTGCTTCTTTCACCTGAAATAATGTTTTATCACTTCCACAACTGAAGGAAGTCCTTCTTATCCTGAGAAGTTAAGGGACACTCACCTCCTCCTAGAAGCCTTCCTGGATTCCCAGTCAGTACCAATGACTCCCTCTAAGACAATAATTGTCACACTGTGACAAAGATGACTGGCAGCGGGAAAATCAGCAGTCAGATAGGCTTCCTTCTTGGATTTTTTTGTTTATTTTCCTTGCAGTGCTGAGGATTGAACCCAGGGCTTCAAGCAAGCATGCTAGGCAAGTGCCCTACCACTGAGCCACAACCGCAACCCCATAGGTTCTTACTTGACATGGCCTGACACAGTAGAAAGTCAGTGAGTGTCTGATGAATGAAACAACATGAAACTCACTCTGGGGGCTGGAGCTCCGTGGTAGAGTGCATGCTTAGCATGTGTGAAGCCCTGGGTTCCATTATCTGCAAACAAATAACAAAATAAAACAACCCCCGTGGCTGGGTGACCAAGTGACCCTCGAGTCCTTTCATGGTGCTGCTCCCAAGGTCACTGATCCTCCAGCCCAGCTGTATGGCTTTGCTACTTAAGCTTCACCTGGTACGCCTAGGTCAGAAATGGAAGTATAGCTCCAGCTCCCAATCTCAAAAGACCAATGCAGCACCAGATTCTCTTTGGGGGGCTTTAAGGAAGGGCTGAATTTGTTTTTATCCCCTCAGTTGTCCAGGTTCGTCACACTTGGCTTTCCTTTTGACTTGTCCCCCTTAACCAGTCTTCTAGGACATTCCTCCCTTCATTCCATCTTACTGTCTCCAACGCTGTTCTCCTTACCTCTTGACCTGCTATAATTCCCTTATAACTGGCTTCTAGGCCTCCAGGATCTCTCTGTTCCAACCCTCCCTCTACCTAAAACCCACCCATTAAACAAATGCCAACTCATGTGCCATCTGCTCCACAAAGCCTTCCCTCATTCCCCAAAACACACACCCCTCCTGAACTGCCCTCACACATTTCCTGTGCTGCCACCCACTCTGGTAGCTCAAAGTTTATCCAGTCTCTACCTCTGTCCCATCTCCAAAGCAATTCATTTTTTCTACTCTGTATACTTTTTTTTTCATATTTTTATTACCACTTAATTATTTATACCTATTGTAAATTGTCTACGTACATATCTGTCTTCCCCCATTACATTATAACTAGACTGTACCATATTTGTCTTTTAGTTATTCACAGTGCTTGGCATAGGGCCCAGCACATAGATTTTTTTTTTCAGTATTGGAAATTGAACCCAGGGATGCTTTACCACTGAGCAACACCCCAGTCTTTTTTATCTTTTGAGATAGGGTCTCGCTAAGTTGTTGAGACCTGCCTGGAACTTTCAATCCTTCTGCCTCGGCTTTCTGAGTCACTAGGATTACAGGCGTGCCCAGCCAAAAGCTATCATTTTCAATATATCATGTCTTCCCTGCAGAACTTTGAGTTCCTTAAAGGGAGGGATTTTTGTCTTGCCACTTTGGCGTTCTGTAAGCTCCATTGAGTGCACAGATGAAGGGAAGAATCAGTCAAATAACCCAGACATCCCTATACATGGTTTGTTAAAGAGTAAGGGCTCTGGCCCAGCATGGTGGCACATGCCTATAATTCCAGTGACGTGGGAGACTGAAGCAGAAGGATTATGAGTTCAAGGCCATTCAGGGAAATTTATCAAGACCCTGTCCCCAAATAAAAACTAAATACAGCTGGGGATGTAGCTCAGTGATAAAGCATCCTAAGTTCAATCCCCAGTACTGGGGCAGAGGGCGGAAGCAGTAGTTCTGAGACAGACCTGGTTTTGAAACCTGGTTCCGCTATTTACATGTTGTGAGATTTTGGGAATCCTCCCAATCTCTCTGAAACTCTGGACAAAGATAATAATAGTACTTATCTCACATAGGGTTTTTGTGGGGAATCAATTAAATTAATCACAAAGTGTGATTAGCCTAGAACATGGCAAATATTAGTAATAGTTACTATTTTGTGAGCACTTTTTCTAGTCAACTAGGCATGGGCTTTGTTTTCCATCACATTTGGGGGGAGAAGCGGTACTGAGGATTTAACCCAGTGATGTTTTTAACACTGAGTCATATGTCCATCCTTTTTTATTTTATTTATTTTTATTCTATTTTTTAAAAAAATTTAGTTGATAGACCTTTATTTTATTTATTTATTTATATGTGGTGCTGAGAATCGAACCCAATGCCTCACACATGCTAGGCAAAGCACTCTACCACTAAGCCACAACCCAGACCCCTTTTTATTTTTTGAGACAAGGTTTCCCCAAATTGCTTAGGTCCTTGCTAAGTTGCTGGGGCTGGCCTTGAACTTGTGATCCTCCTGTCTCAACCTCCCGAGCCTCTGGGATTATAGGCATGTACCATCACACCTGATTCCATCTCATTTATTACCTTATCTTCACAACAACCCTATGATGAAGGTGCTCTTAGTACCCATGTTTTACAGAAAAATAATATGAAATTCAGAAAAGTTAAATTACTTTCTGAAGGCTAATTTCTGCTTCAACACATTTTATGCTAAGAATCCTACTCGGGTTTCTAGGAATATAAGATGTGATAGGATGGTAGGGGATCTTAGTTAGGGTCTTCTTGACTTTCAGCCAAAGTTTCACCCAATGGGCTGGGACTTTGGGAACATGGAGGAGTCTCAGGCCAGCGGCTAACGTCTGAGGAGTGGGAACTCCCAGGAATGGAGTAGGAGTAGCAAAGCAACTCTGAGCTTGTATGGAAGGCCCTCTCTGAGGAGAAGCCCAGGGTTCCTGCCTGGCATTCACTATAAAGGTGACTAATCACTTTGGTCCCCTCTGGTAATTGCAACCAGATGCTGCCATTGGCAGTACTTCAGTCCCGACATGTTTAATTACTGGGACATAGAGTCCCTGGGTCCCCTGGGTCCCACTCCCTCCCCCTCTCCTGTCAGCAATATTAATGTCAAACTTGAGGTAGAGGATGGGAGTCTTGGGAAGCCACTGACATGGAAATAATCTTTACAGTCCCTTCCACCATGCGGAGCCTTTAACTCTTATAAATGTTTCCCCATCCATTATCTCACTGGCACCCCACAAAACATCCTTATAAAGTCACTAAGCCAGAGTATTAGTAGATGAGCAAATAGTGAATCCTTTGCTTTTTTCAAGCACTTGGCAATTTTCAAAGAGGTTTCACATTCATTATGCCAGCTGAACTTCCTAACATCTCTCCATGAGTCAGTGAAGCACAGCACAGAGGATGAGAGCACAGGGCTCCAGGATCAGACAACACAGTTCATGTCCCAGCTCTGCCATTTACCAATTAGGTGATCTTGGGTATTCATTCATTTATTTGCTTAATTATTCAGCAAACATTTATTAGGGCCTACTATATGGTAGGCCCCAGATCTCAGTACTAGCTATATAGCAGTGGACAACACATCAAAGTCTGTGCTCTCATGACAGTGAATGAGTCTATGCATTATTTTAGAGAATTCTAAGGGCTGTGTAGAAAAATTAATCAAGGTCAAAGAGGTGTTTATTTCAGTTAGCAATGCCTCACTAGTGGGGGCAGGGTGGTAGC